GCTGCTTAAAGACTTTATGCTCGCAGATGTGTTTCCAGTCATAAAAGTGTCGCCTCTTGAATTAATTCAAACTTCAGCAGCACAAAAAGCACGATTTTCCTGCACGCTGCTTATCAGATATGCACAACAGCATGCAGCGCTCAATGCAAATGAGACGAACTGCAGCTCATTTACATGTTTGGACCTTTAACTTCCTGAGCTTGACGTGGAGGTGGAGCAGCCGAGGCCTCCTCCCATTCCAGTTTGTCGGCTCCTGCAGGCAGCGACGACGACAAACCCAACCTCCCCCCAAAAAAAGCCTCCACAACCCCCTGGGCTGCCGCCAGGTGAGAGCGCCTCACATTCCTGCTCCTGCAGCAGCCAGGTGTGAGCTCATTACCACTGCAGAGGAGCTTTTACTCCGTGACTCTGCAGGAGTCCTGAACAAACATTTCTAAAGTCCTCAACTGAACCTAAATGTTTTTTTTCCCCTTCGTCTGCTGCAGCATCGATATGTGCTCCGGAAACCACTCAGTGCTCTTTGAGAAAAAACGTCATACAGCCACAGTTTATCACAGCAGCCTGGCATCAATTAATGCCGCTGGTTATCCATCTTCATCTCCACTGAGACTTTATCAAATGCTGCATAAGGCACTAAGGTAAGCATCGGTCACCCTCTAAACAACAACCCACAGCAGCGTTCCTGCTAAAGTCTCCTTATATAACTTCCAACACGTCTCGTCCTGCACCAGATACTGAACAAACAGGAGGAAAACTTCAGTTTGCAGCTACAGAGCCTGTTCAAATCGCCCAAATTACACAATTTATTAGAGCCAGAAACTGTAAAAACTAACAGAATCGCAGGATTTTCAGCTTTCTGACAAACGCTGAACGTATAACGTGTGACGCACAGTTAAGCCAGAAAGAAAACAACAACAAAAAAAAAAATCTCAGCTGGAAACTGTGAGATTTCATCAAAATCCCTTCAGAAAACAAACAATTTGCACCGGAACTGAGAAGCCGTGACTGACTGAATAAAAAACAATGGTTCTGTCTGGAAATTTATCCAAATCCAAGCTTGAAGCTGCCTTTTATTCTACACGTGTCATTCAAAATAATAAAACAAAATAAACAGTTTGCACCAGATCCTTTGGACAACAATTTAGAGACTTTCTGTTTGAGCTGGTACCTAAAAACGATATATTTCATTAAAATCGCTTTATTCTACAAGTAAAAATTCACCATTAATAAACTGTTTGCGATAATCAGATTCTGTAAAAAAAAAATAAGAACTATTCACTTCTTGAAACAACTGAGAGTCCATGACTGATCTATCTCTGCTAATAAAGCTCCATCTAAGTCAATTAAAGCTGAAATTATTATTTAATTAGTAAATAGGCAGACACTAAATTAGCTGTCTGGATCACAAAACCCACCGATGGGTTAGAAAGACATATTTTAAAAAGAAAATAACAAAATTACAACATTTACCAGCACAAAAACTGTAAAAAAGCAAAAAAAAAAATCAACATATATTCAAGTTTCTGACGGTGTTAAATAAATTAGTTATGCGCAGTTCTGTGAGAAATTAATTCTAAACTTTATTGTACATGTTTTATTTAAACATTCACTAAAAGTAAACCATTCATATGAAGTAGATTTGGGAAAAAAACCAAAAAAATTGTGCTTCTCTGCACAACTGAGAATCAGAGAGTGACTCAGTCACAGGACAGAAGTTCTGAGTTTTCAGATGAACTGCAGGCAGGAAAATGAACAAACTGGATGGATACAGTAAAGGCAGCATGTTGCACTAAAAGGTAAATATCTATAGGATGTACAGCCACAGTTTTCCAGCATCTGTAACACCTGTGGACGCTCCAGATTCTGTCCATTCTGTAATATAAAAAAAATTAAACTTCTAATGATTCAAATCCTGAATTTCCTCTATGGGGTCAATACAGAATGATCTTATTTATGTCATGACATCCTGCACAGAAGACATTTCTGAGTTTCGTCTACTTCTAGTCACGGTTGTTCTGTTTCCACAGAGCTGCAGGACTTCAGTCAAAAATGAGCCACCAGTGAGGAAAAATGAGACAGGAGACAAAAAAAACAGTCAGAAACTGCTTTGAGTTCAACAATCCCTCTGTCCAAGTCCGCAAGTTCAGAATAAACCCGGCTGTGAAACTGGCGTCAGACACGTAAACAAACGTTTAAGGGTTGCTGTTATGAGGAAGTCCTTTATTCTTTCTTTAAACGATTAAAAAATCTCTTCAAAAACATGTATTTTTGACTGCACGGCTGCATGGCATCTCAAACAGAGCTTAAAGCTCAAAATAAACTTGAATAAATCCAATCAGAGGTTTCAGAAGCTGCCTGAGAATTATTGGACTTTTTCTTCAGCACGACAGTAATCCAGATGTTGTTCTGCAGCTACGTTACAAACAGCTGCTGCTACCAGCTCATTCTGTTGAATGCCACCAGTTTGACAAAATGTAAGCAAATACGGGCTAAAAACAGGAATCGTAAGAGAATATCTTCCTGTCAACTGGCTCAAATTGAACGTCTGTCCATTGTCGCGTTGGCTCAGGTTAAACCTAAATGACGACGTTCTGCCTCCTCCTTTTCCACAAGTTTCACACCGAGCTGATGTGCAGCTCACAGAAAAACACTTTATAATGCAAGAACGTGTCTCCGGACTGGATTTAAATACCAGGCGGCGCAGCCAGTTCACCGAAGACGAATGAAAAGGTCATTCCGTCTCTAATTATTACTACGGAGCAGGTGAAAAATGACTCACATGCGCTGCAGACTGGACTAATATCAGCGACCAGGGCGGCTAATGTTAACGTCACACCGGCTCCCCTACAGAACGAAACCTAAGCTTCACATAAATATCACGTAACAGACCGTAAACATTTTGTTCCTCTTATAAAAAGACAGAAGGAATTAAAAAGTCGGCTTTCAGATGACACTCAATAAATAAACGCAAACTCTCGATATTAAACTCCTATTTAAAAAAAAAACAACTTTTAGACGGCAGGATAATTTAAAACCTCTGATGGTGAAATATCGAAGTTGAAAATGTGGAAAGTTTGGTGTCAGACAAGTCATGGGGTTTACATTTGGGTAATGCATTCGCCTCGTTCTCAAAGAGGGCTTTTCACGTGAAGGCTGCATGTGAACCGCGTTAATCAAAAACACACCTGATACTCCTTTACCTCATCTGACATCAGATTTTTTATTCAGTATCTTACTTTTCTCCTGCCGGCAGTCATCGGAGTATTAATTAGGCCGATCGACGAACAACATGAGACCAAGAGAGACGTATAATAACGACTTCTCCTTCATTAAAGACCTTTCAGCACGAGGCGGAAGACGGTCTGGTTTAGACGGTATTTTATCAACAACTAGAGGCGGCGTCTGAAGGTTAACCTGTTTAGATTCCTGGCCAAAGATGTTTGGATAAAAAAAGGAGGCAGTGTTCCTGTGACAAGGTTATTAATAGATGTTCTTAATGCGTTCCTCAGATTATATTAGGAAGACTCGCAGTGAAAAGAAGTCTACAGGAATTACAGACAGACACTATGTTTGTTTTTTTTTCATGCTTCATAATGTAGATTGGATTTTTTTTTACATTATTTATTCACATTATAAATCTTTTTTGGACTTAATATACCAACAGTGACAGTTTATACTCTCGTCTAATCTAGAGAGCCGTTAATTCAGCTGTAAAGTTTTGACTAAAATCTAATTTACAGCATCTGTAAGCTAGATTTTTACACAACGTATGAAATGATGTGCAAAACAATCTGCTTTACGGGGCTTTATAATGACTTTCAGCCCACTGTTCAATTGTCCTTTCGCTGTTTTGGAGAAAAAGCGCTGAAAAGTTACGTCTCTGCTAAAGTGGCAACAAAAAGAATCAGTCATTTCCCTCAGCAGCTGGTGGAGACCAAAAACAGAGTGAAAATAAAGTGAAACTTGACCTTAGCATCATCAGGTTAGCACCTTAAAAGTTACCCATTTCCCTTAGGAGCTGGTGTTGACAGAAAACAGAGCTTAAAGTCAGTAAACTTTAAGCGTACAATCATCAGGTTAGCAGATAAAGACTCAGACATGACCCTGAGAAGCTGGTAGAGACCAAAAACAGAGCAGAAATAAAGTAAACATTGGCCTAAGGGTCGTTGAGTTAGCAGCTAAAGACTACTATTTCCCTAAACAACTTGTGGAAACCAAAAATAGCGCTAAACAAAGTGAAAACTGACCCTAGATTTATCAGGCTAGCAGCTAAGTAGTCAGCTATTACCCTGAGGAGCTGGTGGTGACCAAAAACAGAGTAAAAAATTACGAGAAATTTATGGAAATAAGGCTTTAAAAAAAAAAAAATGAAAGTTGAACTTAGATTCATAAGGTTAGCAGCTAAAAACTAAGATACTTCTCGTGGAAACTGGTGGAGACCAAAAACAGAGCTAAAATAAAGTGACAGTTGAGGTAAGATTTAACAGGTTTATACTTAAAGATTAAAGATACGTCGCTGGTGGACTGGTGGACCTCAAAAACAGAGCTAAGAAAAGGAACCATTGAGTTATGTTTTGTCAGTTTAGTAACTGAAGACTCACATTGCTGGTGGAGACCAGAAACAGAGCTAAAATGAAGTAAATATTGAACTTAGATTAACCAGATCAGCAGCAGTACACTCAAATAATTCCCTCAGGAGTCAGTGGAGACCAAAAACAGAGCTAAAAGACAGCTAATAGTGGACTTAGGTTCATTAAGTTAGCAGCTACAGAGCTAGATATTTTCAGTACCAGCTGGTGGAGACCAAAAACAGAGCTAGAAGAGATGTGAAAGAAGAGGAAGGCTTTCTGGTCACCACCCTACACCAATACAGATAGGAGCTTTTTGTAATAACCATGCTACTGCCATTTATAAATGAATATATTGATTGATTGATTGATTGATTGATTGATTGATTGATTGATTGATTGATTGATTGATTGATTGAACGAACACCCCACCTCTCCATGCTCCCTAGTCCGACCCTTCGGTGTGTCCTCAGGCAGGAAGTAGAGTCTGGCGCTGGCCAGCAGGTGGCGCCGGGTCTGGTCCTCCCACAGTAAGGTCACCTTTGCATGACAGAGAAGAAGAGTGCCATAAACAAATCTGGAAGTGCAGATCTTTACAACCTATTTAAATTTGTGCAACAATTAAACATCAGAAAACTTAAGTAGAGACAGGTGTTGAAAATAGCTTCACGACAGTTTAGCATTCGGGCTAAGAAGCAGCCTGTTCAACATTGTGCTCATTACCTCAAGTTGTTTGAAGTTCTAGTGTAAAATGATACGTTTGAAAACTGAAGGTGCAATTATTTTGTTTGCACAAAAAGGTGTTATTATGGGATGACGATGTGAAGTGTTTCCCAGCCTTTTTCTGGCTTTTCTTTGGGGTGAGATCAGTTCAAAAACAACCATTTTGTCTCCTTTAGACTTTAATTTTGGCACCAACTTCAGAGCATTTCGTGAAATTAAAAAGGGAAAAATAACAACAACAGAATTCCCATGTGATGACACAAAGCCTGAGGACACGAACATTAAAAGCAGGTAGGAGTCTAGGTCATGTGGGGAACGCTCACATTGTAGTGTGTAAACGTAAAATAAAGCAGATGAACTCAAACACATTACAAACTGTTTCTGCTTCATGCAAAATAAAATCTCACATGGTTCTCATTTTCCACGACTAAGCTGCAAGGAAAGACTGACAGAACATCATTTAGTCCAATTTAAGGGCTGTCGGCTACACTGAACGTTTTACAAAATATATATATTTGAAAAGACAGAGTTTGTTGCCTTTCAGCCTCCACATGTGCTCAGTAAAGAGGAAGATTTAGTTGCAAAAACAAAGCGGTGTAGAAATATTTCGGCTACAGGAAGTAGTAGTAGTACTCTGCTGATGTCGCCGCCACACGACGCAACAAGACTAATTCGTTTGACCTTTTAAATCAGCACCACAAAGCTCTGAATGCCATCCAGAGCAAAACTCTGGATGGCTTTGCTGGTTTTTTATTTACTTTATTTTCTATTTTCTATGCAGATGCACTGCCCTGCAAAATCAGGAATTACAGGATCATCCATTCCTGTCTGTTTATACATTTTTTATTATACATTTTTAATCCACGAAGGTTTGATATTTGCAAAACGTCCACAGCGCCTAGAAAAATCAGTTTCATAATCATAGCTTCTTTAGATTGTGTCTCCTATATACTCATGCTCGCAATGCTAACATGCTAATGTTTAGCAGCCACACCATCTCAGTGCTGCGTATTTGCATGCTAGCAGTTGCTTGTTAGGACAAAACACTAAGTACAGCTGACAGCAACGCTGGAGAAATGTTGGCCAAACTAAAATATAATTTAATTCAGAGATTTATATTAACGCCTAACTTTACTGAAGCTGTCCGACGGTTTTAACCTCATGGTGGCGCTACAGGAAAAGACCGAGGATCCGCTTCACATGAGCTGAGGTGTTTCTGTCTGAACCGGAGTGGTGGACAGACAGATTGCTATCGCCGTAGCTACGATCAAAAGCCTTTAGAAAGCAAATACATTAACCCAAAAACATCCACTTCACACCAATCGATACTGTCAGCCCAAATACAATGCAGTCTCATTAACACGTGGCCTTACTTTTTCAGCTCCCGACCTAAATTGCCTAAAATTAGCCTTGCCGTGGGATGTAGACTCAATAAAACACAATATCAGTCTTCTATAGCTCATGTGGGCCTCCGTGACCCATTTCAGGTTCGATCTGCAGCGTCAGGTTATTTAAAGGGACGCTACTGTAATTTTTAATGTAAAGCTCAATGTACTTGTCTTTACTCTTGAAAATGAGCATCTAAAGTGTTTGTCAGGGTAAGAAAGCACACGAGAATGTTAAATAATGGGTCTCTGGGTCTAATTTTTGGCTTTCAAGTACCTGAAACTTTACACAAGTGCAGTAAACCAGGCTCTGGATTACACTGATAAAAGCATTAAAGCTGCTTGTATCATTATTTTGATCATGACATATGCGTTAAAGGGGCGTCTGGTTAGAATGAACCTACAAAAAAACATGAGCTAATCAATCTTTTAGCAGCTTAAGAGCCAGGTGTTCCTTTCAGGAGATGGTGGAGACCAAAAACAGAGCTAAAAAAAGAGCAAAAACCAGGACTGGATTCATCAGGTGGACACAAACGCAATGAAAACACTGAATAATAAATAGCTGGAACTATGAACACGTGACTTCTTACAACCTCTTTTCATTTCGTTCCCTGATTTTTCAATAATCACTGTTGTAATGATCGGATTGCAACTAACAATTATTACCGATTTTTTCTATTAATTTATCTAACAGGAAAATGAACGTGAATTCTTGCAAATAAACTTTCAAAACAAGTCAAATCTATCCACTGAGTGCCCACAGCGTGTCTGCAAACCTGCTCTCTGCTTTGTTTGAACCCAAAATGGTGGCTGTGTCGGTGGTATAACATTTCCCACAGCCTCAGGCGACAGCTTCAGATAGATTGCAGTGCGAAATCCAAATACGTCGAGTTTATTATCACAGAGGACGGAGGAAATCACAACATCTGAGAAGCTAGAGACGGTATATTTTTGGTTTGTTTTCCCTTCAAACACGACTTAAAATGATGAGCTGATTCTCAAACCCGCTGCTCGTAAATATTCTGTCAGTAGATTCATCGGTAAAGCAACAAATTAATTCAGTTCTAGTATGTTTTTGTGATTAAAGAAAAGAAGGAAGGAAGGAAAATAATGTTTTTAGTGCAGCAGGGCTCAGTTGTAGCGTACTGGTGTTACCAATGGTGGAGAGAAAACTGGAGGCTGTACATATTAAACTATTTACCTACAAACTTTTCTCTCTACTCTCGTCACCGTGCTGAATGCATCCTCCGTCAACTCGCTCCTCTGTTCACTGTTCTAGAGCCATGCTGCTTTTACTTTATTGAGCCAGCTTGTTTAATTTTCCTTTCTGCTCTGTGGAAACACTGCCTGCAATTCAACTGAAAACTCTCCCGAAGCAGTTGGGGATTCGCGGTTGAGCCAAGTTCAGAACATTTTTTGCTTTTCACAGAATCGGTTTGGTGCAAACGGTTTATATTTGGGGATTTTGAATTACCACAACTTTAAGCTTAGATTTGGTGAATTAAAATCCCACATTTCCTTCTGTTTCTATATGTTCTAGCTGTGGTAAGCGGTGAAGTTGTGGTGATTTCCAAGCTGTCAAAGTTGATATGGCGAATGTGTTCACAAACTGCACATCCAGCTGCTGCAGAGCAACATGATGATTTATAATTAAGTCGTGTTTGTGTCAACATGATGAATCTAAATCCAATGTTTTCTCTCTTTGAGCTGTTTTTTTTGGTGTCCAGCTCCTGAGGGAAATATCTGGTTCTTTGGCCCAAAACTGCACAACGAGAGCAGAGCGAGTGAAGCACAACCGTGAAGTTGCAGGTCAGAAAAAAAAACAAAAACAGAATAATGAGGTTATAAGAGACCATAAATCTCTGTGGAGCTGCAGGAGTCAGTGATGGTCATTCTCTGTGGGTTTCTCACCTCGGCGATGCAAACCGGATCCTGCGGTCTGCAGCGGATGAAGTAAAACTCCCCGAGCTTCCAGACCTGGACGGGCCCGTCGGGCTGAGCTCTGCTGCTCACCGACTTATAGAAGGCATAGCTGCCTCGCTGGCAGGAGGGAGCACCCAACCACTGCAGGACAGAAAGGCAAGGAGACGCCAATGAGAAGAGGCTGGAACAGGCACTGCAGGTTAATCACAAGCTAACCCCCATGAACCTGTTGTACAGACACAACTAACACCTGTGGCTGAGGTACATAAATGTCAGTGCAGCTCAGTGATAAAGTCACATTAGACTGAAGTGCAGCAGGAAATAAGAAAAGGGACGAGAAAATAGAGCTGCCGATTTAAAAACAAACAAACAAAAACAACCCCTTTAATAGTCCAGCTGTGATCATTAAACAAAGCTCTGAAAAATAAAAATAACATCAGATGGAATAAAACAATCTTTGTTTTAAACATCAGTAATTTTTCAAGGTAAAAATGTCTGTTTTAGTCTCAAACGTGAGGATTTCACTGTTTATCTTAGTTTGATATGAATGGAAAAGACGTGACGACATGTGCTTGGACTCTGAGGAGCCGAGATGATTCATTTTCATTAGTCTGACATTTTATAAACTAAATTAAATAAACCAATTGAGAAAATTGCTGAAAGCAAACTTATACTTGACAGTGAACAGCTGAATCTTTTTCTTATTGAGAGTTTGCAGCATTTGAAAGCCTGAACATGCTTGAATGTGTTGAGGAAATAAATGCAGATATTGTTATTTGATGCACTTCTTTCATGTTCTCGCTTTGTAAATAAAATTTTGGATCCAGAACTAAATTCACTGAAGTAACACAACAACAAACACAAACACCGTTTACGAAAAATAGCGACGCACAATCTTTCTCTCCGGTCGTTTTTTTGAGCTCGTCACACGAGACTGAATTCATTTTTTGTGTGAATTTGTCTCCTCTGTGGCGGCGAAACTCAGTTTTTGGAGTCTTGACAAACTCCTGCGGGTTGGGCAGAACAAAAGCTTTTAAGAACACTCGTTAGCTTAGCAACATCACGGCTACAAACCACCCACAATGCAACAGTGAGCCTCAAAAGTCCTCAAAAATGACACAATTCAACTTTTCACACCTAATTTTCACAAATAATATTGAGACACGTCAACACATTTACTGACATTTACCAGAAACAATAACCTGAAGTTCTAAGTTTTACAATTCAGTTTCGTGTTTTCTCTAAAAATTTGTCATTTTGACGCATTAAAAGCAAAATGAAAAGAATTCAAAGCCTGGGTGGAGCTCGCAGCGTTTTCGAGGGGTGTGTTCGAGGCAGTAAATTGTGCAGCAGCCTCCTGTGGCATCAGCGCCTCTGACGATAAAGTTGCACCATCTTGCAGCCGTGCAGCCTTTTCACACGTCTAACGAGCAGGATATTGTAATATATTAAACGGCTCGGAGGGGGAACGTTAAAAATTAACTCCTCAGACTGTTCAGCGCGACGGAGGCAGATCCCACATCCCCTGATATCACCAAAAAAAAAGGAAAAAAAACCAGCCTGAACAGGAGGACGTGTGCCGGCCTGCGTTATCTGAATTCCCACATAAATTCTCAGACGGACTGATCTGAAACGCGTGCAGCCTTGTGAAGTAAATTAATGCGCACACCAACAGCTGGATTCATAGACACGGCGCTGACTTTTGCTTTCGCCTGGCTGCACGTTATGGAGCCAACGCGATTCCCAGAAAACCATAAAATCATCAGCTGCAGTTAATCATTCAGTATCTGCAATGTGGAGGATTCCACTTGTAAATTAGAAATGTTAGCGCGAGCCGCTTCCTGCCGACTGCTTCACACTTCCACCACGTGACTCAGGCGTTTGCAGGTCTGAATTTGATTAATACGTCTCCGAACTCGTCGACTTTGAGGCGTTGTTGTAATCAAAGAGTCCTGTGTGTTCACCTTAAAGCCACCGGCAGGTTCAGAAAGCAGAGAAATCACCAGAATGACAGAAACCTCGAAAGCAGGAACAAGAATTTTTAGCTTTCAAACTTCATGTGTCCTAATGTATAAAATATTAATAGCATCTTATTAAAATCACTTGTCTCATGTTAAAAATTCTCCAAAAATAAACCAGATTCTGTGAAATAAATACAAAAAAATTCTGCATTTCTTTCAACAACTCAGAGTCCACGCCCGATTCGGCTGCGACAAACGGTCACATGACGAAAACTCCCTCTGGATCAATAAAATGTCTGTCTGCTGTAAAAAGTTCGATCTGAGGGCAATCAGAGCCAAAACGATGACGTAACTATTAAATAAGCAGGCATAAAACGAGCCCTCTGGACCGCAAAGCCCAACAATGGGTTTAAAAAATATATCTTTTAAAGAAAATGCCTAAATCACATCATGTACCAACTGAAAAAAGCAGAAAAAAATCCTCAGATATTCAACTTTCTTATGATTTTAAATAACTCGCAGCTCTGTGAGAAACTACATCTAAACTTCACTGATATATTTAAACATTCACCATGAGTAACTGGATTCTGTAAAAAACTAAAAACTTCTGGCTCCTCAGCAGAACCGGGAAGACGTGACCGACTCGGCTGTCACATGACAACAAGTCAGAGAGTTTTCAGGTGAACGGAGAGACGACGGATGAAACTGAATAAAAACGTGAGCAGCAGAATATCTCCAGGATGTAGCGCGAACACTTTGGACTTGTTGTACACGCTCATTACAGTTCGTTTGTTTATGTTCATATGATTTTTTTAATGCTTAGTATTTGCAAAAAGAAAAAAAATAATCAGAAAAAGTACAATTTATTTCCAAATAAATACACAGATTTTTAAACGAGCTTTCATTTTCACTAACAGATTTTTTTCTCAAATTAACCCATTAACTTCATCTGTAAAACGTCCCTGCAGCTCAAAGTGACTTCTTTAAATGCCGCGTGTTGTCATTGAAATGAATAAAAGCCATTAAAATGTTATTTACTACAACATTACACAAAGACAAGCAGCAAATCCTCATATTTTTGGAGGCGGAAGCAAAAATATTTGGAGTATTTGTCTGAACAAAAGGGGAGGGGAAAGCCTAATTTATTTTCTAATAATTAATGTACATTTTTGAGAAACTGCAGTTGGTTGTTTTTTTTAATTAACTGATTAATCACGTCTATAAATTCTGCAGCGTCTTAAAACGCTTCATAACAGGTTGAAAGGTCCTAAAAGTTCTGCTTACTGTCATATTAAACCAAAAAAAAGCAGAAAATTTGCAAAATATTTCCTTAAAAAAAATGCAGAAAAAATAAATGTATTTCTAAATAAACACACATATTTATTTATCTATTATTAATGTTGCCTTGGTTTGAATACAAGTGAGAAACTGCTCAGGATTTAAATCTACGACACTTCAGCTGATTGAGCTCGAACACAAACACACATCAGAACCAAACTCATTCGTCGAGTCGCTGATTCATCTGCCGACAGAATATTTACCAGCTTAACGTTTAAGTAGAAAAACAACATCTGCATATAGCGTCTGTAGCTTCTCAGATGTTAATACTTTGTGATTTCCTCCGTCCTCTACGATAATAAACTCGACGTATTTGGATTTCGCTCTGCGATCTATCTGAAGCTGTCGCCTGAGGCCGCCTGAGGAAATCTCATACCACCGACTCATCCACCATTTTGGGTTCAAACAAAGCAGAGAGCTGGTTTTGCAGACACGCCGCTTCCCCAGTGGATAGATTTAATTTTTTTAGGTTTATACGCAAGAGATCACGCGTTAATTTTCCTGCTGGATGAATTAAGAGAGAAAATAATCAGCAGATGAGCCTTTTATCAGGGATGACTGCTAGTTGCAGCACTAAACACTGATAAGAAGTGGAAATGCAACTTGTGCATTTTCTTGCGTTACTTTAAAACGTCCCATCCTCAGCGGCTAAACGCACTTTCATGAACAGTACATAAGCATTAAATGTGTGTTCTGAGCCGGCAGGTTCCTCTTCTTGTCCCCAAAATGGCAGCCGTGTCATTGAGGAAAATGAATCGAGTTATTTAATCCACAGCATCCGGCGCGTTCGCACTCGAGGGGCGCTCGATTCATCGCCGAGGCTCGCCGCCGTTTGTGGGTGGAACGATAAATCGAGCGCGCCTCGAGTGGGTTCATACGTCTGAAAGCCAACACCGTCTGAGCTGCTGCTGAATAAACCTGCAGCTTTGATTACACCGCTGTCCTACGGGGAAGTGACACCCAGAACTAAATACAAAACAAACACGCCTAAAAGATAATGATGGAGGCAGGTTTTGTGAACTGAACAGGAAGTACACACTCGTCATCTTTAAGTACGTGATTGAAGGTCGTTTGTTAATTGAATCAGTTTCAGTGATTTAAAACAACAACATGTGAATTGACTGCAGCTCGTTAAATCTGGATTCTTCCGTCCTCGGTGACTTGAACAACTCGGGGTTGGGCTACAAACACAGTTTACTACAGCAGTGGTTCTCAAACTAGGGGTCGGGGCCCCCATGGAGGTCCCAAGATCATTTCAGGGGGGTCGCCAGATCATTGCAAAAAAAAAAAAAAAGATAATAAATAAAGCCTACATTTATCAGATAAATGTGTTTTAGGGCTGTGTACTTCTTCACGCTCCTTTTTCGAACTTGTTAATATTATGACTCGACTATGTGATGTTATTATTCTTTTTTGCTCTTTTTCAAGTTATTTTCTTTTGTTTTTATATTTTTTTTCCCCTTTCATTTGTTCAAAACAAATTCAATTCATTCATTCATTTAAAAGAAAATCAACGTGTTCATGTTAAGATGAATCTGTGGAATTAACACATTCATTTTTGACGCATTAATTCATGAACAACAAAGTTATTTAAATTGGGAGGTCGCGAACACAAGCTTATGTTATCTTGGGGAGGGTTTGAGGAGCGCTGCTCTGGAGGATGTTTCACTGAGCTGCAGGTATCGTCCAACAACCGGCTCCTCTGTTCACCGTCTGAGCCGAGCTGCGTTTATGTTATTGATCCAGTCGGTTGGCTCCCAAACTCTACTCACACAACCGATAATGACTCTAACCCTGCATATACAGTCGTCCTCAGATGTATTCAGACCCTCCACTAAAGAA